TTAGCAATCTACAGTCAAAAAAAGAAATTTTTCTGCCATATACTCATTGATTTATAGCATTTTGACAATCAACCCTGTATGACAATCTCCTACTTTTACACATTAATTCTAATATCTACCTCTGAACACCATCTTTCTGGTAATTTTGCAAGAATGCTTTGAAATAAAAATATCGAATATTTTGAAACAGTGACATGCCCTTGTACCTTATGCATGCGTATGTATGCAACACGAAAACGCACGGCGTATAGAATTTCAGCACGACGAAATAAAATAGTCATATATCGTTATTGTGTAATCCTGTCAAATGCATTTGCGATATTTGCCTGTGTTTCAAATTTGTGCGGTGTACACACCCGGGCATTTGGTGCACACGCGCTTTACAATGGCGCATACATCCGAACTATCCCGCCGTAATTCGCGTAATCATATACGGTTTCAATAACGGTTTAATGGGTAACCGACTTCATTGTCGTATTAGACAGATTACGTCGATTACAAATACGACAAGCAGCACGGCTCGTATTTACGACGCGAATTCGGTGGCGCGCGAATGTTGGTCTGTTAGAATTATAGACGGCCATCGGATACATATACGTATGTATGAGTACCGTTTCTGTTGCGTATTTATATATATATATACACACACACACTATACATATTCCCGTATAAATTCCGTCCGCTAAAACATATCGTCGCGTTTTATTCATATCAATAACGCGCCGCCGGCGTCGATTTGAACGCGTCGCGACATCGCCCATGATTCAATTCATTCAAACAATTCATTCAATTCAATTCATTTATTTCTGATTGAAATAAAATAGTTAACAAACAAAGACTCAAAGATATAATACATTTAACAAAGTCATCTTTAAAATTAAGAGTGTCTCCCTTTTATTCACGTTGTAATCCCGCGGTTTGCACGATGTAGAACGTAAAGAGAATAATGGCTGCGTTTGGGAAAAAAGCAGCTTTACTGTTGTAACATTCTTTAAGATGATTGATTAAGCCCAGTGAAGAATTATAAGGGCAAGATCACAATTAAAGAATCATACAGTTGCAAAGCTGCAGCTTTTTCTGCTAAACGCAGCAGATTTTATTATTGTTGAAAGTATTATCTATTTGCAGAATACATAAAAATATTGGATTATTATCACGTCGCAAAGCACGAAGATAGCTCTTCTTTTTCACGTCGCCGCACTATCGTCATCGCGATTATGCGATTCGCAACGTGCCGCCGCTAATTGACATCTGATACCGATCGATCTCTCCTGCGTACGCTTTACACTGCTGGTCATTAATTAAATTCTCGCCGGGCGCGAGCCTGCCGATCGCTGCTGTATAAATGACAAAAAGCCCATCAAAATGTACGTATTAAACGATAAATATTCGATAGATATTTCGTCCACTTACTCATCCGTCGACGTCGCGTTCGTACCTTATTCACCACGATATTCAGTGGGTCGAATATTTATAGCTAACGCTCTCACATATTTTCCCGATTGGCTGTTCCAATAAACGCGACGTATCGCATATATATATATACATATATACATAGGACTCTAGGTTCTAACTTACGATTTCAAGCAATAAAGTAAACTTCTTGTTTATAAAAACTTTTATACACCCGTAGCTTTTTACAGCATACAGAGATTCCTGCAAATTAAATTTTCGAATCTGAGAGATTCGAAACCGAATAAATTTGAAATTTCGAATTATCGGTGGTTCGATTTCAAATTTGCTTATTTTATTTGCGTTTTCGAACATATGATCAAAGATTCGATTCAATCTGATCTCACAAATGATTGAGTCGCACACCTCTACTTAAAGTTACAAACGACGTTGTCGCTCGCTCTTTCAGATTTCTATTTTAAAAATTAGTTCTGTCAAGGTCTTTGATATTGAATATTTAAAAATCTCGAAGCATAATATCTTATCTCAAGATTTACAGAATCAAATATGTATATAAATTCACACGGAAATATTAAAACTAAGATCCGCTTTGACGAAATATATATGGATTTCTCTTGTTCAGTTAGATTTTATTCTCATCGGTCTAAATTCATATCATATAATTGTCTTATCTTAAGATTAATTTCTTTCTCTCCAAAGATTGAGTGTCAAAGCATTTGTAATTAAGATTAACAATAAGATCGAACCTCTGTGAAGTAAGATCAATGATATTCATGTACCGCGCATATACATTTTTAAATGCTTTTAATTGTCCGATTCAAGATTCTCAACGAGGTATCGTAAAAGCGTTCACCGGACTCGCGGACAAAGAGCATGATCGCGGGTATTTTTGTTGATGAGCGTACGCGGGTTTAGCTGTTTATGATCCCATAAATTCCATCTGATTTCGGCGTAACGGACAAAAGATCGGATGGTCGTGTCGCGCGTATCCCACTATTCTCGTTTTCGTCGTCAACGGTAAAATGGAAATGACGCTTTATTGTTCGAATGGACAAGCGTAAAAAGCCGGTAAAAACACGCACTCGAAACGAATTAAACGCGCCCATGCAATCGGGAGCCAACATTCTCAATCGCGATTATTGCTAATTTCTAAGTGTAACTGATCGCTGAATGATTTTCTTTAGTAAGCGACCTCGTATCATGAATGTCCTCGGTAAATATTGCGGGAAAATACTGAACTATTATATGGTAACAATTGATTAAACTTGGATTTAAATAACTTTCCGAAATTATACGAAGGTATACGTTTTGTTTCTCGATAAAAGTGACGACATTGTACAGCGTCCTGTATAAGATTCGCTGAGACTATTGTGAAGGAGCAATTTATTATTTAATAATATTTTCTAACAACTTTTGATCGATAAATTAAAACTGTCTATCTTCTTAAATATTTTAAGAATTATAAACGAATTATTAATGAAGTAATGTTTTCAAATATTTTAACAATTATATGAAATTGATTATTAATTATTGAATGATTATTAATCATTTTGCATACGACACGACGTACTAAAATAATTAAAACAATAAACAATGGATCTATAAATGCATTTAAATCATTGTGGGCTTTTCCAATTAATAAAAAGTTAAATAAAGAGATATTCACTAAGATTAATTAAAACATGTAAACCATATATTAGAATTCTTGAATTTGTTGAAAGCAATAATCGCTCTTGAAAGAATAAACTTTGAAAAATATATATAGACGCATATAAGTCTCATATCTTTTTCAAAGGCACTAAGATAATAAGTCTTGAAAACGCGAATAATGATAATTCCGCCGTGTCTTTTATTCGATTCACGCGTTTCGATCAGAGAGATCAATTTAATCTCCCTTAATCCACGCAAAAAGTCCGTCGGATCTCGACGACCGATATTTACGGATTCGATATCCCAGCAGCCGTTCTCTCGCATAGAGCTCGGCTTAAGTCGACTAATTTCTCGCGTTCGAAAGGTCGGATCATTAAGGTCTCGCATAGCGAGAGTTGCCAAGGAACCTCTCTCGAGGCTGCGAGTCGAATTGGCGTCATGTGTATTTCTACGTGTGTGCTAATAATCTCGGACTAAAACACCAGGTTCGATAGATACGAATCTCCGTTGAGTTAAACCAAACGAGTAAGTAGAAGAGATGAAAAATGCCTACAGATCCTCTAATAATTTTTTTGTCTATATAATCAACTTTTGATAATTCAATTACAAATTATATTATTCAAATTGTATCCAATGCAAATTATCAACATTCAAAGAACTGAAATTGTACGATTTTGCAAAAATTAGGAAAAAAAATTGTAACAATTTATTATAGATCTTATAAACATGGATACGCCTTGTTGTGGCTAAATCAGACATCCGAGTTGACAGAGCGAAAGAATTTAATAAATTCTATCCTTCTATGAGAATGAGACTACTGCGCAAACTCGGGCGTAATGTCATATGAATATATGCATAGACTTCAATTATTTATGTTTTATTACATTTTAAAACAAAATCGTTCATTAAACTTACGAATGAAAGGAAATATTGTCATTCTTTCCTCAACATATATCACATAACTCCAATATACACATTGTCTTATCATTTTTGCAAGTTTTCGCCAATTATAACCTATCGGTTAAAATGACACTGCGTATATATTTGAGATTCATGTGTATAAGATCTGTGCAATTTGTAATACAATAACGGACATTCGGATTTTTGTCAGTTTGACATTTAATTATTTCGCGGGGAGGGAGGAAATGGAAAGAAAGAACGAGATTGAAATCTGTCGCGAGGTCGCGCGGCTTATAAAATTGCGGCATTTAAATTCCGTTTGCATATTCCGGACGGATACGAGTTGTATGAAAATTGCGTATGATAAAAATGTAAAATGAATCGCATAGATGTGGAAACGAGCGGGGAAAAACTGAAGCTTAATAAAGCGATTTATGGTGGAGAAGCGAGACGACTTGGCCGACATCGATCCGAGGAAGCTGTTTCACTCGGGACACTCGGTCAGTTCTACACGCGCTCGTTCTACATCTTGCCGTTGCATTTTACGGCTTCCTTCGATTATTACTTCAATATGCGCTGCTATCTGAATTATCGTAAATCCAATATCGTTATCTACATCGACGGTCGGGCCGAAGCATATGTATCCGCTGCGTTTAATCCCAATATCAGTTAAATATACATCAACCATTATTAATATCGCGAATGATTATTAATATCCCACACGATACACTTTCTTCAATATATATATATATATATATACATATATATTATAATCACAAATACTTTCCGCATCGCCGAGATTTAAAAGATTAGAACTTAATATATTATTTTCTCCAATTATAATATTTTTGTCTACCTTATTATTAAAAAGAAATTAATCAATATTATTATTACCAACTAAAAGTTGATATTGTTGATTATTTATGCGAAAAAAGTTGAAAAAAGTATGCTACTGATTCGTGCAGACTTTGGAATAATCAGCTTAAGTAACAATTCGCACGTAATACGTATAAGTGTTCATTGGTATATCTCCCTAGGTATCGGTCAATTTCAACAAAGAGCGGAACCACGGCACACTGCAGTCTATTGGCCGGGCCTTCAGGGACTAGTCAGCGATCCTCTCGCATGGCGGGCAAGATTACATACATGTAAGTCCAATATCTCACGCATACTACATCCCTTACTACATATGGAATACTGTATATAGAGAAAATATCGCACTGCCTTGAATATTCACATATTTATTGAACATGAGTATTATATATTTAGTACATAAATATATTACATATATATTACATATATATTATATATATTACATTATTATAAATATATTACATATATATTATATATATATTACAGAAACAATATATTTAACATTGAACATAAAATGAACTAACGTAAAATTTATTGGTCACTAAGGTTTGTTAAAATGAGATAAGACCGAGACAAAATAGGATATCGAGTACTTAATAAATTTCTATTTAACTTTCTTAAATTATCTTAATTACAGCAATATATTTAAAGAAAAATTGTACTAAATTGGTACAATATTCATCAAAATGATTAATTATTAGGTGTTGGAATTAATTCGTAGCGTTTTACAAGTGATGGGAAGTACTTTCATTAATGTATTTTTTAATGCTCATGTGAAATAAATAACATTCTTTCATTAAAAAACGCTACGAATTAATTCCAACACCTAATAAATATACATATGTATATGTTAATACACGCGCACGTATCAAAATTAAGATAATTCAATAGAAAGTTGTTATAGTTAGTATAAAAAAAATGCACGATAAACACTATAAACACTATAAAGTATACAGGCTTATGTCTAATTAATGTGCTTCACTTTACAAATTGGGAACTTTATTCTTAACGCATATCTTTCTCTTCTCTTTTTCTTTCTCATCTTTTACCTCACTCTTACCTCAAGCATTTCTTCGACAATGGAGGGATGTATTATTATTATTACTTTTAAATACGAGCATTGTCGTACGTTTCAACTGCCTGCGGATGTTTCGTTACCTTTCCCCGGGCACTGTCGCGGTGGGTTTGACAGCTGCGCGTGTTTGCTTTCGCGGCAGGAAAATCACAGGGCCGAAGTGAAGAAACACGTGCTGGCGAACGTGTCTCCGTTTGTAACGGCGTGCCCGGAAAGTCGTTTGAAGCGGTTCTCCCGGCGTGGGTCGCCTACGGGGAGGAATTTAAAAAATGCGTAGAAACTGTCGTCACGCGCGCGGAGAGCGCGGGAAAGGAAGTTATGGAGCGAGGGGCCCGCGAGAAGAACAAGAGGGATTCAATCTGAACGGGGACACATAAACGATGGCACATAAACGAAGAATTTGACCGTATAAAAAAACATATTTCTATCTAGTCTTTTTGCCATATATATTAATTTAATATTAGGTATAGTAAAAAGAAATCCATTATTTTTACTACACCTAATACTATATTTCGAAAATATTACTAGGATTTTAATCCCCTTCTAATCGTTAAATAAGATTAGAAAGCTAAAATATAAATTTACGCATTGAAGAACGGAATAGTGTAAAATGAGAATTATATAAAATATTATGCGTTGAGTGTCAAATAAATATAATTGCTTGATCAGTCATTTATGCACATTTGAATGTATTATCTATATAAATATGTGCAATATATTAAATTATAGATATCACAAAGTGATTATTAATTAAAAATTTACGGAATTGTAATATATGTATAGAATTATAAAGAATCATGTAAAATAAAATTCTACAAACTAACTAGACAAAATTGCGACGCGCATGTCGCAAGGGATTTGAACGTTGAATTTAAAATTAATTCGAGTTATCGAGTTTACAGTTTCATCGATATAATGCAACGCATACTAATTACTAATTGAATTGCAAATATTCGTGTAATCTATTACTTCCCAATTTACACTAATATACATCATCTTTTACATGCAATTTTGTGGCAAAGAAATGGACGCATGAGTAGCTCTAAATGAGGTAGCTCAATTCAAAATTTTTAATTGATTTGGAAGTATATTGCTAATTTATTTTATTGAAGAGCATTTCTACTTGAGTTTAACTTGAATAGAAGATCATACGAGGCATTAATCTCAATGTATTATGATTATTCAGAATACCATATTCTCTAGACTTGTCAATAATCATGTTAAAGTATAAATTTATTAAAGTATAGATTAATTCGAGAACTATTCGTTCGGTTCCTCATGTGAATCTTTCGATAAAATATTAATTATTAAAAATTATGGATTAGGCATCTGCAGAACTTGGTCACTCATATCTAGGCTATCGACTTTACTACCATCGTTTACGTGTAGACACCGGCAATGCCGATCGTAGCAGGTCGATCCCGATTGTTATCAAGTGCCGACACACTCCCTTCGCACTCCCTCGGGCACTTGGACGGTTCACGCTCAATTAGCCGGCGGGATCTCCCCCGACATACATACCGGAACATTCCCGATGGTAGTACGGTCATCGTGTATACACCCCCGTCCTTACGAGAAGACGATTAAGGGCACCGCAGAGAAAGAGAGAGAGAGAGAGAGAGAGAGAGAGAGAGAGAGAGAGAAATCACAAACAAAGTGAAAGAACACGTGACGTCCCCCTTTCGACGGAGAGATGGACGACGGAGACGGAAAGCTATGATAGTAAAGGCGAAAGACAGAGGAAACAGCACGATACATCAACCCTCTGCGGGGGACGGCACATGTGTTGCGACCGCGTCGCGACGCGCGATGTAAGAAGAACGTGTGGAACGCGGTCGTGGACACACCGTGTGGAGGCACGTGTGTGGGCGCGTGTGTGTTTCGGGTGTGCTCGATGCCGCGCCGCTAGAGAGAGAGAGAGAGAGAGAGAGAGAGAGAATGAGAAAGGGGAGAAAGAGGGAGTATGTCGTACGAACCGTGGGGGGCGAATAAGAGGGTGGTAGCGGTAGTCCGCTGCGGCGTCGGATCCGGGATATCATCATATTCAATATCAACCTTGCCCCCAACCCTCGGGGAGCGACCGCCGCCGGCCGTCGGTCGCCCCATCTCCGTCATTCCCTTCCTCACCCCTCCCTCACCTTCCACCCCCTCTTCCTCTCCAGAGTGCTACGTTTTCCACACTCGCGCGAATAACTCCGGCAATATTTTAACTGCGGCATCAGGGCATCCACGCCTGCCTTTTCCACCGCCCCCGATACACGCTGCGGTAGATTCCTCCTCGCCCCTTCGTTGAACCCTCCTCCCGAGGGGCGGTGGAGGAGGAGACAGGGGGACCGACGCGAACCCGCTTCACACGGAATGTAAGAGTTACACCGACTACCCGGTATATTTTATATTCCGGAGCGAAACGTTGATCGGCTCATGGCCCTCGCGAGGCATCGTCGAACGATCGCCACGGGAACCGTCGTCTATTTATGCCTCTGCATATACGTATATCGGAGTACAACTATACTCGAAATAAGCCAGCCCGGTTCAACTTTCATCCTTCCCGCTCTTGTCATCCTTATTTTTCTTTCGTCTTCATGGTGGAGACAATAGTCGCGGTGATAATAATCGCCTTGATATTTGTTCGAGATTTGAAACTATAGATAATTAAGAACATGACACTCTGAATTATGATTAAAGAGTTTGTATTAAAGTTGAATAGAAAGATTTTAATTAAAGAAAATCTCAGTTTTGAACTATGTTAGAAAGAAAAATTATATTTGTAAAAGCATTCTATCTAAAGAACTTTTAGATTGTGTTATTCTTTTAGATAAAATACGGATTTGAAACTTCTAATAAAGAACACTTAGACTTTCCATAATTTTGATCAAGGTGTCTAGCGAGATCAGACTAATCAATTCAAGGATAATTCCAGGACATTTTAGATAAAAATCCTGATTTTTCGGGTCAATTAATTTTTATTGATTGATTAACTTTCATTGAAAATAACAGTAATATTATTATTATCTCGAAATGAATAAATTAATCTAGTAACAAACTTAATGGCTTTGAGAATTAGCGCTGTAAAAAATGATCGATAAATATCAATGTTAATCAAGTATTAATATTTAATCAAATATCTGACTTTTAATTAGAATAAATAGTTACAAAATTTAAATAATCGCTTGCAAACATGTTTTTCGCAAACACGTTTTTTAACCATCTTCAGTACATATTACTTCGACGAGATATGAGATAAATGCATTCAGTGTATATCTAATGTTCATGTCAGATTTAAAATGTCCATTTATAATATCTCATTGTCGAAAATTATTGAATTTTAATATTTGACAAGATCTCTATATGATTGACGTTATCAGCAATGTTTCGATGGAGGTGCACAATCATTCAGGCACCATCCAGCTATCCAACTGGTTGAGTCTCAAAAAGAAGAACTTACCACCTCACAGAAAAACATTATTGATACGAACACACGATGGACATTGTACATACCCTGAATGCATCTATCTCATATCTCGTCGAAGTAGTATATGTACTGAAGGTGGCTAAAAAATTAGCCGAAACATGTTTACGAGTGATTATTTAAATTTTGTAACTATTTGTTCTGTACCTAATTAAAAGTCAAATATTTGACTAAATGTTAACATTGATATTTATCGAGCACTTTCTACAGCGCTAATTCCCAAAGTCATTAAGTTTGTGACTAGATTAATTTTCATTGATTCCCGCAAATATTATGTTTTGTATTCAAGTTAAAATTCTAACTTAATTAATTAAAACGCAAACAAATTGGGAACAATATTATTTAATGCTTTATAAATAATAAACATTCAACACAAATGATAATTTCTCTACTATATTCTATTTTGTAATTGTAGATATTAAATTCAAATTTTCGATCAGTAATTTGTATTATTATAGTTTTAAAAAATGGTTTATGCTCAAGTATAACTTTTCTTTTTATTAACATAATATTACAAATAACATCTTATAAAATTATTAATTTATTGGCGCTTTATTAAAGTATCAGTCTAATTTTCAATGTCCGCACTTGAATCTAAAATGATTATAAAATTCATCGTTTATATCGACATAGTTCTCATCCATGTGAAGGAAATTTCTTTTTTTTTTTTTCGTAATCCAATTTTTTTTTTACATTAGAGACTGACAAAAATTTCAAGTCAGCTGTCCTGA